TTGAGTGGAGCACACGATAAAAGTTTATTCGTCGATATATCGGCAGTAAGTTATGGCTTTCGTTCCAAGGCGGGTCTTTCAACCTTTGGCCTGAACACTGTGAGCAGCGCCAGCGCTAACCTCTGCCCCGTAGCTAGTCCTCTCATTTGCTTTTACCACGGGAGGGTTTCAACTTCCCTCGGAACTTCGAAAAGAGACCTACGTATATCGATAAGGCTTGGAAAGTTAGTAACAGTATTGACAAAATGAGTTTACCAAAAAAAGTGTGAGCGTTCAAAGCTTGCATGCTCAGAGCATGGAGAGACTGTGCCAGTTGTTAGGTTCAGTTGCCCGCAATGGTCACAAGGGCCACCGTGGCAGTGCTCTCCTTCTCTAGATGAGCGCTGCGGGTTTTGAAACACTGAGTATTGATGAAACAATCCAAGCAATAAGTGAAGCAGACATGTACAGGGTGTCCCAAAATTATCTGCGCCTATATAATTCAATGTATTTTACGTCTTAAGCAGCGAGTGACGATGAAATTTATACACATTTACTTACATTACGTACAACAACAACATACAATTAAATTTCAAAATATCCTCCATTGGCACGAATAAAAGCATGAAGTCTCTTCTTAAATTCGTCGCACGTGGCACGCAGGTACCCTTCATCCATTTCTTCCCAGGCTTTCTTTAGCGCTGCTTTCAACGACTCCAGATTGGGGTGACGAACTCGACAGACCTTCCTTTCAATTAGGGACCACACAGAGAAAACAAGGGGGTTCAGGTCTGGGGAGCAGGATGGCCAATCCTCGACGCTAATGAAGTCGGCCAACTCTCGTCGGCACCACTCCTGGACGGGCTTGGCTCTGTGGGCTGGAGCGCTGTCCTGCTGAAAGCACCACGGATTGTTTTCGAAGTGGGAATCGGACCAGGGCTTCAAAACGTCCATCAGTATGTTTTTTAGGTAAACGTCCTTATTAATTTTCACGCCTGCATCGACGAAAACTAACGGGGTCTTACCAGTGGCTGTGATTCCCCCCAAAACCATCACTGAAGCGGGGTTAGCCGTTCTTCCAACTATTTTCCTCGAGACATGGCACTTCCAACGTTTTCTGCCAGAACGCGATCATTTTGGCGGTTTAGAACTGGCTCGATGGTGAAAATTTTCTCGTTGGAGAAAACGATGGAGAGGTGCGTGTCACCACTGAAGCGGGTCAGCAATCTTCTGCATTTTTCGACCCTACGATGCCTGTTTTCGTCTGAAATGAAGTGACACTTTTGTATGCGATAGGAGTGGTAATGAAGCTTCTCCTTAACTATCCTTCCCATCGAAGACTTTGATATACCCAGCACTCTCGCCATTCCTCTGATGGACCGCCGAGGGTTGCGATCGACTCTCGAGCGAATCGCTTTGATAATCTTCTCCGTGGAAACACTAACCTTTCTACCTCTTCCCGGCCTGTCGTTGAGTGATGTTGTTCCTCTGAATCGTTTGATGGTGTCCTGTACCGTCCTCATTGGAACTTCGAGAAATTTCGCCATGTTCTTCGTTGACGCCCCTGCCCCGTGCATGCGCATTATTGCGGGTCGCATTGGATTAGCCTTCATTATCTTAAAGATATCAGAGATCTTACCCCGGTAACTATGTGGGATGCAAGAAAACATACCTGAGGATTCGGTCAACACACAAAGAAGTGAAAGGAATCGGTAAGTTTAGCCTGGGGAACTTTCAAACTTGGCGCAAATAATTTTGGGACACCCTGTACATGCCGTTTCTCTACAACAGTAAATAAAGCACATCATCAATTCGAGACCAAAATGCACATTTTCACATTTTTTCTATCGATTTTTTGGGTCTTTCATCGATGTTGCGTTTTCTCGCGTGTCCAAGACTATTTCATTTTGGGTGCGGGTGTGTGTGTGTTTCGGTGTTGAAAACGAAAGAGCGTTACGAAAATGACGTGGAGAAATTTTGAATAAGTGCGGTGGTAGGTTATAGATAGGTGGTCGCTAATGATATCCGAAACAAGGCGCTAACTTAAATCAGCAAGGAAAACGATTTAGTAACTCTTATTCGGGACGAAAGCGCGGAAAGGACAACAGAGGGGAGCAAACCCTAAGCGCTCACCAGGAGTGGAAGAGCATTGCCACTAAGACACAGTGGCCGTTGGGGCCACTACGGGCAACTGCGCTTATCAACTGGCACTATCTCTCCATGTCTCAAGAATGCAAACTTCAAACGCTGACAAATTTTTTGGTGGACTAATTTTGCAGTTTCCAATTCCATATTTGTTAGTAACATCCCAATCCCTATAGATATACCTAGGTCTCTTCTCAGAGTTTCATGGGAAGTTGAACTCTTCCCTGGTTTGTATTCATCTGGCCATCTGAACACGTTACACTTTAGACTTTCTTCAAGTAGCAACGTGGTCCGTTTGATAGCGAGACTAGGAAAATCTGGACTAGCATGGTGACCAGTTAATGCTTCCAGGACAGCTTGCCTTGCACTTTTCCTTGACACGTTTGTGTATAATGAAGTCACTTCAAATGACTCCATTATAATATCCAACACTCCTAACCTGGCTTCACCAAGTATGTAAAGAAACCCATCGGAGTCCGGTAAGTATGCTGGGACAAGTCGCAACACTTGTGCTAAGATTAGGTTGAGAAACCAAGAAACCTACAAGTGGAGCCACTAACGTAACTTATAATAGGTCTAACTTCGAACCTGGTGGGGTCTTCTACGTGCGCGCATTTAGGAGGGAGGTTTACGAGTTTTGTCAAGCAAGTACAATACGGGGCAATGGGTAGGTCATATTTAAGTTTGTTGTTCAGAGTTTTTAGTGAATATGCCAGATTGGCCATCTATGTCCACGCCTCGTTCAAACTGCCTCGTGAATTGATCTGCGCTAATGTTTCGACGGAGTTCTGGAAAGAGCGCTATCGAGAATAGGCGGAACATCGTATCAACAACAGCATTAGGCTCCCGAGGCGGGGGAATCGCCATACTTATGCCGCACGCTGAGCGCTATCGGAGAGCGAGTCCATTTTTGCCTTCGATCGTGGGTAGTCTGCAAACTTTCCACTTTTTATGCAGTGTATCATGTCAGAGCGATTGGCTGGGGGCGTAACTGAGTCCTAACTCTAAAACAGCGACTGCATCGTTAGGTAATTCTGCGTTCCCAATGAGCGCAACTCTAGAGCAAGACATAAAACAGACCGCTCCCAGTTTCAGCAGCGGGTATTGTTCCCACGCACTCTGAAGTCACATGACCGTAAGAACCGTGATATCGCTCATAATTCACTGACCAAGAGAATTTCTTCTGCAATCTTACAACGGTAAAATAATAAACTCTCAAATATGTTTCGACCCACACACTGTCGTCCTCTAAAAGATATCCGGCAAAAATCGTTCACAACATAATTACTAAGCAACATATTTCGTTATACATGACTACAGTGATCCCGTTTCTTTTTAAAAGCCATGACAGAAATTGTCCGTTCTAAAGTTGCCTTTTTTGGGAGTTTTTGGAGTATCCGCGATCTGCATATAGTCCTTTATATGTGACCAAATTTGGTATCAGTGATGCTTTGAGCAGCGCTCTAGGAAGTGGGAGCATCGTCCCGTCACAGCGATCTTCTACCGGAGAGACAAGACTTCCTTCAACAGTCAGAATTGCTTGGCTGGTACTGAGCTCAGAATATTCTATGGCCGACTATCCATTAATCTCTATCCATGGTCCAAATAACAGTTGTTGTTGATTAGCTTGGCCTCCAAAATTGGTAAGACGTTGGAATATGATTCATCAAAAAGACCTCTGATTTTCGAAAAATCAAGGAGTCTTCAGAGAATCTGCACAGCATTACAGTTCGCGAAACCAGAATTCCCAGAGTGGATGGCACCTGTCCGAAAGGAAAGGATGGTACGAAGAAGAAGCTTCCTCAATTGATTCACCCTAACTCCATTTAAGTAATTGGCATGTATGTACACACGTGGCCTATGCAATACTTGCAGCTACGAGGTTTGGAAAGGCAAAACAATAAGAGCTACCCGTTTTGATTGTACTCTCTAACTTCCCCTTTTATTGTTCTCTCTTGCAACACAGATCATAACATCCATCTTCCTGCAAGTTTCAATATCCCACTATCATAAAAAGTTCTAGAATTAGGTGCTTACCCGAGGCGCTTTTTGCAGCCCTATCGCGGATTGAACGGACTCCATCCACAGAAATATTCAAAAACCTAAACAAGAGGTTCTTTGTGTCATGTGTTATGTGTGTGTCATACAGCAGATACAATTTTTGAACAATTGCTATGCCCTCTCTGGCTCATTTTCCGTTCTGACAGCTCTGCATACGGTATACCCTGAGGCCACAACTCATTCTAAGGGACATCTCAGAAAACATTTCCTTCGTGAGCTGTCTTTCGAAGAATTTTCGTGTTGGGCGGAACCTACCAATACAATGAAAGAATAACCGTAATAGATATAATTCGGTACTACTTTTTCTAATATGGCTTGGTAGATGCGGGTTCTACTCGATATCCCTCTTTCAATTTAGCCTAGAGGAGCTTAGAGGAGGAGAATACAATTTCCATTGTCTCGTATCGTTTTCTTTGTCCTTTTTTCCCGTCCTGGCCAGCTATGACCCTCACAACATTTCTCATGATGTCTCCGACGATACTTTCAACTTTGTATTTTATTATGAGTAGTTTATGTCTGTGATTTTCTAAATCCAGATCATCCCTGAAGCATTTAGGTTTTGTGAAATTCAGCCATTGAAGGCGATCATTGTGGGCCTCCAACATGGTGCTCACAGCTCCATCTACTGCTGGAGCGTTTATTTTAAGGAGTTTTCTCTTTCTAGCTGTTGTCATTTGAGAGTCCTATCACGCTTTTTCCCATCTTATTAATTAAGCCAGTATTCATCGATAGATGATAAAAAACAATAAAATAAACTTTATCGACCTTCAAAGCCATGTGAACAGTTGATCTTCCTGGAGTACAACTTGACCAGTTCAGGCGGTGCAAAGTTCTAAATTGGGATAATGTTAATGCATTGCGCTTGAAGTTTCCATTCAAACATTCTCAATCTGGCCATAATGGATGATTGGCGATGTACCTAGCTTGGAAATTCCCTCACTATCAGTATAGTTCTTTCGCCTCGACGTGTTCCCATGCTATCCCTCACTCTATGACAAAAGAAGCTCAATTCTACTTGTTATGATACTGTATTCAGGTCATTACTGATTAGCATGACTTATATAGGTTATTGTGCGTTATTTATCATTAATGATTGCGATTATTATTATTGAGCAATAATTATGGTTTCTGTTTTTATCCGAACTTCATTTTAGCCCCAACAAGCACGCACGAGAAGAAAGTGATTCGAGCGGCGAGTTGCGATAGAAACTGGAAGCGCTGAGTGCACAAGATTGCACACCCGAATACCTTTATCCACATATACCACTAATGTCACTATGATAGACGAATAATAAAAAAAACTCACTATATTTTGCTAGCCCGGGGAACTTCTTCAAAAGTATAGCGCACGAGTTCTTTGAAATCTTGCCTTGGAACTCAGATTCGAGTCTGCAGTTGGTAAATTTTTTCAAATTATTCGCACGGTTTTTTTCTAGTTCTAGGTACGGCTGTACGACATACCTGCTCCAGCTTTTTATCTTTGTGTACTTCGAATTGGGGTAAAATCCGATGTGCATAAGCTGAAACAACAAATAGAGGGAGGGCTTCGTAAACTCAATGCCAACACCTGGAATTAGAACATTGAAGAACTTTGACGACTAAAATAAGGGAAGGTTTATTGCACTGGTTACCGGTACAACCTTTATTTATGAAACAGGATTCACTTTACTGTACACTAATCGTCAGCTGGAGACTGTACCGAACATTTGCTGAACTCCCTTCATAGTTCTGGAATCAGTCCACCGCAGGGAGCAAAGGCACCAAACGCTTTGTCCTTTCTCTAGTCACTCATACTGGCTCCAAAAAGGTCCTTTTTATAACATTTATAACAACCCACCAATTTCTCTCCGACAGTCTGTTGAGCTTCGAGTTCTGTCGCCTACTTAGCCGGAAAATCAGTCATTATTCATAACACATACCCGTTTTATTTATTCAACCGAAGATGAGAAATTAGACACTGTTTCCCATTCTCTACATCTACGAGTTCTCTGCATCACTGCTCTGAAGTCTTCTTTCGTTAGGCGTGGTATGATTCCATTACAAATGTCTATGACCAGAGGGAACGGGTACTCTGGTATGCTCCCTTTTCGAGGCGATTTTCATGGAAGTAGTGGCGGTAGGCCAAATGCTACTCCAAGTCGAGAAGGGCGGAGTGGCAGGGTATACGCTAATCTGAATACCTCACCATCACCACCTGTATAGTTATTAAGATGGTATTGTCGTGAACCACTCGAGCACGGAACTTATTTTTCTTGTGCTTACGAAAAGTTCAATTGATTTGATGAAACCAGAGTGCAGTGTCTCAAACAACTAGACAGAGAAGGCTTTCCCTTCATCTCTCTCGAACAGTTACCCATCCATCCAAGGGGATGCGGATTTTCCAACGTGAGAAGCTCACAAGTATGTCGTTTTTCAGCTCTTGCCTCTTTCTCACGGCGAGAAAGGGACATAGAGGTGCGGTAGAAAGACCAAAGATGTAGAGAAAAAATTCGAAAAATGAAACAAAATAAAGAAAAGCAAACCGAGGCTATGAAAGTGCTGGCGTCAAGCGGTAGTGAATTCAGAGCTTTCAGGAAATCACGTTGTTTTTTTTGAATGTGTATATCGGGTTTAACCTGAATAGATGTTAATAAAAGTTTTCGCATGAGTTTATGATAGCCTTCAACTACGATTTTCTCGATATATTATAATGGAATTATTAATTAATTATTATAGCAAAATATGTGCACCCCGTGCGACAAATACCAAACTTTTCACTTTTCATTAGATCCTCAGTAGGAACAGGAAAATTTCTCCAGTTCCTTTATTTGGCATGGATTTCGAGGTTTACATGAATCTGATGTTTTGACTGCGGCCCTGTTCGCTGGAAAACTTCAAAAATCATGATCTTGGAGCTCTTCGGAGCTCTCTATGCTCTCTTATAGGGGGAAGTGGCCCTCTCTACCTTGAAATCAGCTTGATAGTTTCGCTGCTCCGGCCACAGCTCAAATACGGGAGTTGTTAGTGCTGCAGAACTCTGCAAGCTTGGAAGAACTGTAGGACCGTGAATAATTTGGAGCGTACGTAACACTGCTGCTCGCACACTTTCAGTTCTGTTAAACGCGTCTAGATTCTCTCTTTTACTCGACTGGTGAAACTGGACATAGTGAGTACTTCTGCTGAATTTTTCTTCAAAAAGCTTCTCCTTCGTTCTTCAAGACTGTGAGGAAGTATGTTCTAGCTACTGACTCTTACCCTTATGAGGATCAAACCAGTGGGCTGAAGATGGCTAACATGCACACCTACCAAATAAGCATTCACATTTTTGGAGCAAAGTAAAAGTGTAGACCTCTCGTAGAAAACTTCATCGGTGGAACAGTTTCGCTGTTCAAGCATATCTCAGGTTTCAATTTTTCTCTCCGAGATATCCCGAATGATATGAACATTAAAAAAGCTGGCATGAACGTCAAAGCGAGATGGTTTTTGAGTTTGTAACCTAAGAAAAAATTCCTGTCTTACTTCGAGCTTGGGATCATGCATAATCTACGCAGCTGAAATCAACCTCTGTTGGAAAAAACTGATAAGTTCACGATAGCAAATAAAGATTAAAACCTGTTTTCCTTGTCGCATGGCAATAATGTCTTCGTTTATTTTCATGAAATAACTTCGGTCAAGTCCAGTGATATCCTTAATCGCTTTATAGATTGAGTCGATGTTGTCATTCTCACTCAGCACAGACGACGTCAACAGGAGAACGCCAAAGACTAGAAGCATTCCTGGCTGCTTAGGATGAGGTGGTTGCGAGGTGAACGCATCGCAGTCTCTTTGCAGCCCTTTATAAATGATTTCTTAAAGACGTTGAATTTGTTTTCTCCATTAAAACTGTACATTTAAGTTTTATGCAGAAATCCTTCGATTGATTAACAATATATGCAACAAATCATGCTGTCATACTGCGTTGTATACTATGTATTAACTATATGGATGTCTTGGGGCTTGATATAGCTAATGTATATAATTTAATATTTATAAACACAGTATGACAGCATTATGTTTTGCATATATTGTTGATCCATCAAGCAGTTTAGGCATGCAGTTTGAAAGCAAATGCGAATAGATGAAAATAACGAATTCAACGTCTTCAAAAAATAATTTATAAAGGGCTGCAAAGAGACTGCGATGTATCCATCTCCCAAACATTCTACTAATATTTCTAAACAGCTGGAAATGTTCCTTGTCTTTGGCGTGCTGCTGTTGACGTCTTCTGTGCTCAGTGAGAAGGACAACATCAACACTATCTATAAAGCGATTAAGCACTATCTATAAAGCGATTAAGGATATCATTGGATTTGACCGAAATGAAGTCATGACACTATCTATAAAGCGATTAAGGATATCATTGGATTTGACCGAAATGAAGTCATGAAATTGAAGGAAATCGGTCATGCAATAGCACTAGGAAAGCAGGTTCCGATTATTATTTGTTGTCGTGGACTTTTTGATTTTTTCAACCGATATTGATTTCTCTTGCGTAGATTTTGCATGGCCATAAGCTCAAAGTAAGACGGATTTTTTTGGTCATCAACTCGGAAACCATCTCCAATATTTCTTCAGCTTTTTCGTATTCATATTACTCGTGATATCTTGAAGAGCAAAAACGAGACCAGATGCGCTTGAACAGCGAAACTGCTTGGCTGAAAAAGTTTTTTTTTTCACGAAAGGTCGCTATACCTACCTTGCTTCAAAAATGTGAATGCTCATTTGGTATGAGTGCATGATTACCATCCTCAGCCAAGTGCTTTGATCCCCATGAGTGTAAAGGGAGAAGCTGGAACATGCTTATTCACAGCCTTCAAGCAAAAAGCAAAAGCCAAGCTTGTAGAATTCTGCAGCAATAACAACTCCCATATCTGAGCTGTAGCAGGAGCAGCGAAGCCATCTAGCTGGTTTCATGGTAGAATGCGCCACTTTCGGCTATAAGAAAGCATGGTCTCCGAAGAGCTCCAAGACCATGGTTTTGGAAGCTTTCCGGTGGACAGGGCTGCAGACAAAACAATAGATCCATATAAACCATGAATATTTTACTATAGATTGTATCGAAAAATCCTAGCCGAAGGCCATCATAAATTCATACAAGAACTTTGATTAGTATCTATTCAGGATCCTAATCCCAATAGCGAACTTCGGGAAAGACATCGCGATTTTGTAAAAGCTGCAAAATCTTTACCACCTGACGCGCGCCGTTTCATGTTCACGGTTTGCTTTTCTTTTCGTTTTTGTCCCATTTTTTAATTTTGTTACTTCTTCGTTTTTTTTTCGCTTTTCTATGACCCTTTCCCACCGTGAGAAAGAGGCAGGAGCTGAAATACGGTAAACTCTTGTGCTTCTCACGTTGTAAAATCCTCATGCCCCTGGATGGATAGATATCTGTTACAGAAGAAGGGATAAATAAAGGAAAAAGCTTTTTGGTTCAGTTGTTCGAGGCACTGCGCTCTAATTTCATCAAATTAATTGACTTTTTGTAAGCACATGTAGCCTATGCCATGTCTTGTTGCTGTTGGGTTAGGGAAGGCGGGAACCTACCGCTTGAGATCTATTCGCCAACCACCATTATTCTTCATTATGTTTTCTTGCAACCAGACCATAACATCGGTTTTAGACATGGTGGTCTCAAAAGTGTAAAATGGGGGCTTCGGGTCGGAAAGCTTTGAAGGATTGCTTATTTGGTCAAGCGTAGGATACCCCATACCTTTTGCCCTTTGGAGAGACACTGGAAAGGAGCAAATATCCAAGAGTTCTGTTGAAATGAAGAGGACTCAAACGAAATGGAATGACCATAGCGATACGAAATCCCTGAAGGATTTTGTCTTTATTGTTAACAGGATTGGCGGTCCAGTCATCAATGAGTGTAAACACAAAAGGATTCAACCTGGAGAATGATATGTGCACGCCACAAACCGACTGCCCAAGTCACGAAGGAAGATTAGTTCTGTCCAGCCATGTCGTAGTAATTAGGTCAGTTGCAAGAGAGCATTAACTCTGTTTAAGGTACCTCACTAAACAGCCTCTGTGAAGTGTACGGAGCGGGGTAGAAAAACCTATGTTCATGATAAATGAGCAGAATTCAGAGGCGATCAAGGATGGAGGGTCCCTGTTCTATCTAATGGCCATCTGCAGTATTTTCAGTGAGGCATGTTCATCAGGCAACCTATGGCAGCGGAAAAATTCAAACGGAAGTCGAACTTTCCCTAACAAATAAAGTTGTAGGTCTCCACAGAAGGAAAACGGTGAGGAAGTGTTCAGATTAGGGTACACCCGCTATCTAGCCTTTTTCTACATGGAGATGGCATCTGGGCTTCCCCGGCTACTTCTCTGAAAATCGCCTCGAAAAGAGAGCGTTCCAGAACACCCCGTCTCTCCGGTCGTAGGCATTTCTTTACATGAGCGGAAGAAGCTTCTATTGAGTATCACCAAGGGTCAGCCGTGAGCATGTTCTTTTCCGGCTAGCCAACACCAGAAGTCATGGGGCGCACATTCACCCCACAACGTCAGGGATATTCAAAAAAGACTCCAGATGGGAGAGCTGGTATGAAAGACATTAAGGCAGTCATGCAGAAAACTCGAAGATGTCGAAAATGGGGAAACAGTGTCTGTTTTCTCATCTTCAGCCGGGTATATAAAATGGGCATGTGTTGCGAGGAGCGAGTGATATTTCCGATCAGGTAGGCAATGGAACTTAAAGCTCAACAGACCGTCGAACATAAGTTGGTGGGTTTGCATAAAAAGGTCCCTAGGGCCAACATGAGTGATGGATAAAGGATGAAGCGTTTGGTGTCTTCGCTTCCTACGATGGACTGATTCCAGATTTTTGAAGGGAGTTCAGCAAATGTTCGGTACTGTCTTCAGCTGATGATTAGTGAGTGTTCAGTGAAGTGAGCCTTGTTACTCAACTAAAAGTTGTACCCATAATCAGTGCAATAAAACTCCCCTTAGCTTAATCGTCAAAGTTTTTCAATGTAT